GTAAAATGCATGTGTAGAAGCCTGCATTGGGACTAGAAGCATGCTTACTACCTTCATTCTCAAAAGTATTCCCAGATCTGTTTCAATGCCAGAAGCACAGATTTACCAAAGCTTTTATATTATTTCCACATGTAACAGATATATAGATCCTACTGGGACATCTTAAGTACCAAGTAGTAAAATACCTCTAAACTAAACCAAGTGTTAAACATTTTTTCAGAACTTTTGTTTTATGGTAGTATTGTATAAAACACAGAAACCATTCCTATAAGCCCAAGAAAAGTATATACAGTAAATAAATCCTCCATACCAATTTAAGGCAAAAACACAATTTCTGATATGTTAGAAAAATAACAAATTACTGGATTTAGGATAAGCCTGCATTCTCCCACCACACTACTGTGATGATATTTTAGACCAAACAAATATTTTAACATTAATTTCCTAAAATATCTTGGCTTTGCCTGGAATCCATATTGAACAGTTTAATTAACATTTTATATTGCTTTGGGAGGTTTAAAAGGAATAAGAAATAGTTATGATTTTGCAGTTTCACTCATTAACTATTACAAATTGTCACTGGATCTTGTATCAGCTATGGCACTTTGAAAGGACCACAAGAGCTCAGTTTATACTACTTCTTATTTTGTTTTGGAAATGGAGTCTTGTGTTAGTAATCATATTTTAATTAAAAATAAACAGAATTGCTGATGATAAAAACAATGGCCAGCATGCAGTATAAACAGTGTACATTTTAAAGATTTATAAACCTGGATATTATCTCTTTCAGTAACCAATATTTTGATTATCCTTGTCCATTCCACATTTCCCCCCTGGGTTGCTCAGGCTATAAATACAGAAGGGTGGAAATAATGATTCAAATCAGAAAACACTGAAAAGGTCAAGGTGACATTATTTATTATATCACAGAATATACCAGCTATTACAGTTTGCTCCCACATTCTTGTGCCAAGCATTGCAGGAAGAGCAAGAGATGCAAAATATACTGTATTTACTTGAATACAAGACAACCCTGAATATAAGATGACCCCCTTATAATTAGATTCTATATATGGAAAAATTATAAATTTGTTACAGTTTTCCAGGTACAGAATCTAATTATCAGAGGTTTACCTTGAATTTGTCCCCCTTCTACTGCTGCAAAAGGTCAAATAAATGTGGAATTTCAGATAGCCCCTTTGCCTTCCCCTCATCATTACAATCAGATCCTGCTCTCACTAAGTACATGGAAGTGAGGGGCAAATTTGGAAATACTGGGTGCATCTACACAAGATGTTTACTGAGAAGCTGACTAATTAGCTTCACAGTAAATGTCTATATGTCTACATGTGTGCCCCTATTAGGGCACACAAAACTAATAAACTCTGGAGCAGGCTAGAAGTTCTAAATACAGGTGCTACCCTGATGAAGACTAAATACAAGTGCTACCCTGATTTTTTCATGCACAGTAATGCATGTGTATACAGAGGGTGCTTCAATGTGGGGGCTGCCTGGTAGCTTGTCCCACACTGAGGCACACTTGTGCCCCAGCCAGCCCCTCCGCAGCACATTGAACCCAGCCAGAGTAGGCCTGAACTGCTGCCAGCTTGTGCTGCTCCTCCTGGGCTCAATGTGCTGTGCACAAATAAACTCCAGAGTTTTTTATTCTTGAGCACACATTCAAATGGTGTGCCTGGGAGCAAAAAATTCTGAAGCAATAAGCTCTGGAGTTTATTTGCACACATTAATGGCACATGTAGATGTGTCCACTAACCTTGAAATAAATATACCTCTAGTAATTTTCATGTAGATAAATTAGCCATAGACTTAGTTCATCCAGAATTGATGCACTTTACTTTTAGGAAACTGCTGCAAGTTTTAGCAGATACTCCATAATTTTTAAGCAGTACTTTTGTACCAACTTACATATAGTACAAATTATGCATATTGGTCCAAAGTCAAAAGGCTCATGCTTTACTACATAGTTAATTGGACTGGGCCCCAGCAGAGTCAACACTATTTCAAGCCATAATGACCCCATAACTCAGCACTGCTAAGTCTGTGTGTGTACTCCAAATACTTACCACAATGGATCCATGTGCTAATTAGCTCCCTACTCATGACTGGAAGGGGGTGTTTTTATCACAAGTCCTAAGATCATCTGAAAATTGATATGCAGATAAGGCACAGGAAAATCTAGTCTGGCTCCACCTCATGGAGGGCAGGACCACAATAATCATATGCAAAAGGCTGAGAGAGGGGGCAACAGAGAGATTTTGGGTGAACTGTTTGAGGCCCTATTCGGTTATGTTTACCAGATATTTAAGGCTGGTGAACAAATAGGTATAATTGGAAATGAGAAATTAAGGTGCAACTCAGCTGTGGAAGTAAAGAAAAAGTCAAAATTTTTTCAATGTAGTGGTTCACCATGACTTGAAAAGAGTTGGCACTGAGAGGACTGTATACCTTATTCAAATGGGTTGCACTAACTTATTTTGTGATCAGTTTCCATCAGTTTGTTTGACTAATGTAGGCCAAGTGTTTTATAGTTATACCTAATGTTGGCTTTATTTAACCAGCTTCATAGCTGGTTGCCATTACGCAGCACATGATACTTCTGGAAGCAGTTTAATGATAGAAAATATATTTAATGAGGTTTCCTTGTATGTGAATAGAAGAGGAGGGGCTCTTTTCCCTGTGCTGACTGGAAAGAAAAACCTCTCTTTGTATTTGAATAAATACTGTAAAATGTCTCATGGTAATGAGCAGGGATCCTGGTTTTTGCTGATAAATAAAAATCCCCAATTTTCAGTGTCATGGGGGCACTCAGGTGCCCCGTTCCTAAGTAGGAATTAGGGCATCTGCTAATTGCCAGGGCAGCTCAGCTGCTGGTTGCCGGGGCAACCGGAGCAGGTCACATGGCTAAAAGGGGCAGGGCCTGGCCTTTATAAGCAGGCCAGGCTGCAGCCTAGCTGGCAGTTATCATCTAGTAGCCTGAGAAGCAGGAGCTCTGCAGAGGAACAGAGCAGGGCAGTTACTACCTGGCAGCCGGAGAAGCAACAGCTCTGCTATAGAGCTGAGCAGAGCAGACCAGCATCATTGCTTGACCGCCTGAGTCCCTGCAGAATGGCCTGGGAAGGAGAGGCCTCTGACAGGGAGGCCTGAAGGAGAGCCAGGGTGGCGTGGAGTTTTATAGCTGGTAGGCTCATTTTGGGTTACAGCTGGGTTGGCTTGAGGTTTATGTTACAGCCGAGAGGCTTTGTGTGCTGTTATACAACCAGAGGACCGGGTGAGGCTGTAGGGGTGTGAGGAGGCCTCACGGGAGCTCCCCAGTAGTCTGGGGGTTCCTGGGTGCCTTGTTTGGGCCCAGAGCAGTGCCTGGGAGGCACGGCTGTTTGGCACCGGTGTGGTGCGGGGTGTGAGGGTTGAGACCCCAGTCCAAGGGCGGTATTCTGCCCAGTGAGGCGAAAGACCCCAAGAAGGGTCAGGGGGCCAGGCACGGCTGCGTGCCACCTGAGCCCCGAGCGCGGTTAGTGTGGGACAGAGCCCAGAGAGGGCGATAGCGTGAGGCAGAGCCCCGGAGGGGGCAAGAACATTGCGGAGAGCCCTGAGCGCGGAAAGCACGTGTATAGGCCCCAGTGAGGGCGAAGAGCGCGGCAAGCGCGAGATAGGCCCAAGTGTGGGTGAGAAGTAGCCTGAGTCAGGCGAAAGACCCCGAGAAGGGTCAAGGGGCCAGGCACGGCTACTGGCCACCTGAGCCCTGGCGCGAGAAGCGTGGGACGAGCCCCAGAGCAGGGCGAGGGCGCAAGAAGCGTGGGACGAGCCCTAGAGCAGGGCGGGCTTATTGAGAAGCCCAGAAGGGTGAGCATACTGAGGAGGCTCCTGAAGGAGTCAGCCTATGGTGCTGCCCCAAGAGGGCTAGCGAACACAGGGGCACCCGAGCAAGGGGCATTGGTTGCGTGACAAGCCCAGGGGCACCCGAGGAAGGGCGTTGGTTGTGTGACAAGCCCAGGGTGCCCGGCAAGGCAACACTGACCAGACAACGTCTGGAACAGCTGCGAGGCACGCATAGCACATAAGGCTGGGGTGCAACAGGTCACCCATAAAGAGTAGG